AGAAATAAAATCTTGGCTGTACTATTAGGGCACGTGTTTTAACAGTCTGGAAAGGAAATCATCACACATCAGCCTAATTTAGTAAAACAATTACTCGTTAATTAATTTTGAAAGAGACTAATTTGTAAACTACTTTGACGCAAAGGAAAATTACAATACTTTAGTTTTTTGTTCGATTATATCTGCTATTTATTAGTTTATTAGTATTTATTAGTTATACAGTTAGTGGCGTAAGGGGCCATGAAAAAATGTATATAAGCAAGTCATATACATTTAAAAAGCATACACAGATGTATACCATTTGTTTACTTGCCGGTTGTATGAGTCATACATCGAGCACTTAAAAATATCAGAGGAATTTAATTTAAATTAAAAAAAATATTTAAAAATAAACATTGCACCATAGGTCAAGGGAATATGGTACAGTTGCCACAATAATTTAAAAAAAATTAAAAATTGTATTCGTCAAAAATTGGCGCTATATACTACTACTATATATATATATACCATTAGCAAAAAATATTTATGGAATTTCTTTGGTAACTATAGTACTAAAGAATGTTATAGTGTAATTATTAATTTCGTAGTAACTTTACCAAATTTAATATTTTTTGTTCACGAATTGCATATAAAAATATATGCAAATGAGGCTTTTAAAGTTGTTAATTACATTAGTGAAATCGAAAGCTCGTAAGTCCGTTTTCCTTATAAAATAAAGGCAGTAATTCCCCAGTAGCAAAAACAGTTGTAAAAATAATATATTAATTTAATATGATCTAAGTGTTATTATAATCCCAATAAATGGTATTGTAGTTTTAACGTATAAAATATAAGTTGGAAATTTGACTGAGCGTCTTGTTTCTCGTTTATCAAATCAAATCATAAAATAATTACGTTTTAAGTGACGTAGGATTGTACCTTACGTCATATTTAGTTTGGAGTCAATGTAAGATCAGTAAATATAAGCTTAAACTCCTTTATTAATAACAAGATTTGACGTAGTTTTGGAGTTCCGACTCGGGATATGCCAACATACAATTGCCCATGGGTAAATCATTATTTTTGTAGATTTTGATACGTTCTATAATACTGTACAACATTTTTTTGTTCAATCATCAATAGTTTCCACAGCGCACGCGATGACAGATTTTTTCGGTTATATATATTATATGCAATAATCCAATATCAAATTAGGGATCCCCATTTTTTTGTGGAACGTAATATATCCTTTGTCAGTAAAGATGCAGCTTTCTAATGGTGAAAGAATTATTCTAATCGGTCCAGTAGTTTTTGTGTGAAAACCTTACAAACTTACATACAAAAAACACAAATGTTTCCTCTTTATAATATTAGCATAGATAACATCAACAGTCTAATTTCACCGTTTTAAAGTTTCACAGTTAAGTACTTACTTAACTAAGATTAAAGGTTCCTAGTACTAAATATACCTATTTCCGTTAAAACTAATAATTAAAATTTAACAATGATTTAGCCATTTGGATTTCTTTACAATGGCGGAACACCGTCATCAGGATAATATGAATTATATTTTTTTTAATAAAACACTATTTTGACCACGCTGTCCACGGTGACCACGCACGCTGTAAAGCACGCGAAACGTCGGATAAATTTAAAATTATGTTAAATAGTTGTAAATTTATAATAATACATAACTTCAATCCGGTCAAAATAGTGTTTTATTAAATGAATAAAAGTTATGTTAATCAAAGACAATATTATATTTTTTTTATACATATGCAACGCGTTAGTACTAAGTAAATAAGTTAATTTTGCTTGCTGACTGTTTATAACTGTGTGTACTTGTTTGGCGGGTCCGGGGTATTCCCAACAAGCTTACCGTGATAGCGAAAAAACTGGATTGCCTATAGGTAATTCTAATAATTCATTGAATAGGGATGTGTGTAATTGTATACATATAAATTTTTTTTCTATTTCTGTTTCTCTGATTATTATTTTCAGGTCGTGGACAGTTTTCTCAATCGAAACACAGCCTGTTTTCTACATTGAGAAGCATCGCAAAATCGGCAAATGTGGTCATTTCGCCTCGTCACATTATTTTTATATTATTTCTTCAAAATTGTTAGTAAGTTAGTATTTAAATTAAGAATGTGAAATGGAATGTTATGTGTGGCTGAATAAATGTTTTTATTTCTTTTCCTTCATACGTTGTCTATACCAGTTCAGACAATTTGTATGACAATACTTGGCGATTAAAAAGAGTGGCGGAAAGTTTCTTGCCAGTTCTTCTTACCCGCTCTACGCCCTTGACTTGCGAACTGGTAGTAAATGTAAATTTACAATTAATTTAACTTTTTTCCGACAATTCATAAGTGTACTTGCTTACCTACATGAATAAAGATATTTTGAGTTTGACTTTGATACCTTTTGATTCAGTCACAATTTTAGCAAAAGTTATTTGCAACAATCTTGTAAATAACATCGATTGGTGCAAATTGGAAGAACACACTTTTGAGTTGAGACACGAACACATACCCACTAGGTTATATAAAAATAAATATACTTATATTCTTCAGATTCAGAGCAGTGTTAACCTAGCGGCTTCAGTGGCCGTAGGGTCGAAACCCGGCTGTACCAATGGTATTTTCTGTCTATGTGCGCATTTGCCTTCCGCTTGTACGGTGAATAAAACACCGTGAAGAAACCGGTATGCTTTGATAACCTGCCTATTAGAAAAAAAACACATACAGAAATCTGAGGCCTAGATCAAAGGTTGTAATGTCATTGGTTTATTCTATAATGGCTACAATTCAACGAGGAATTTATTTGATTTAAAAATATTTTTGTAAAACAATAATGTTATAATAATAAGCTATATAATTAAACCATCTACATTGTTGCATTATTATACACATTTGTCCCAACACTAGTACATTCATGTCTAGTATCCATAAACCCTTACAAAATGATTAAAAAAAATCCTTTTATTTACAATCCAAGTTGTATTTACTTCAAAGAAGTAACTTAAAATTAGATATGGTTCAGGACCACGAACCTCGGGTTGTCTCTCTTTCCCTTTCCCTAAACATTCTCCACAAAAATCTCTTGCTTTTCTTATCTATGTCGGTACGATTATATAGTTTTATTTATGTTTTCGTACTTCTGTGCCCGTGGAATTAATATTTTTTTAGCTTTTCTTCACTTTGTATATCTAGGACACCATATCTGTTGAAAATGTTTTTTTATTTTAATACCGCAAAGAAACCGTTGCATACATACTGCACCTGAAGCCTGCGAATTTTCGATAACACAAAATGGAGATACATCACGTCTTACTTCCGTACGTGTAATCGCCTCTGTTACTCAGCCATGCGCGTGTTTTATAGATAGGAATGGGTACGTTGTCCGGGGACAAAATAAACAACGAAAATATAAGAATCGCTCGTTCAAAGTTCTTCGGCTTTTTCTATTTCACTTATTCAATTAAATATATTCGTAAATTGGTTTGTATGACTATTTACTTACATATAAAGATTTGATATATTACGAGGTAGCACAAGATAGGTGCATTACCGACTTACCTTAACATACTTTTCTCTGATATTTTTTAACTAATAATCTAATATATAAAATTCTCGTGTCGCGGTGTTTGTGGTTAAACTCCTCCGAAACGGCTTGACCGATTCTCATGAAATTTTGTGTGCATATTGGGTATGTCTGAGAATCGGACAACATCTATTTTTCATCCCCCTAAATGTTAAAGGTAGTCCACCCCAAATTTTTTTTTTAGTTTTTAGATAAATTTTTATTTTTTTATGTTACAACATTAAAAAATACATGCAACCCCTAATTTTCACCCCTCTACGATCAACCCCTATTTTTTTATTAAAAATGATATACATGGCAAAACGACGTTTGCCAGGTCAGCTAGTAAAGTTATAAAAGCGTGTCCTTGTAGCTTCGTTTTATCGCTCTAGATGTATGTTTTCTCTTTCTTAAACAAATTCGAAATTGGGTTTTTAGAGTAATATTAACATACAAATAATATGTATTAAATAAAAAATTTTAGTAATATCTTTTTTTTCTATTTTTCTCTCAAAATGTTTATAACTGGCCACTTATAATGTACAGAAAATTGGCAGCCATTTTTTTATATTTCTATTTCCTGCATCAAACCATGGCCACTATCAACAAGCTTGATGTAATATTTTTAACCGTCGTAAATTTTAAAAGGATATTTTACAGTTTACGAAAATTTTAATCTTGTATCAGTCTTACTTATAACTTCTTACACCACAAATGGACCTACTAAAGGCACCTAAAACTGGATATTCAAAATCTTTGAAAATTATAAATCAATAGTTTAAATATATCTAATTGTTTAAATAAATTTGTGACGCAAACGTCAAATTGTATCACTACAATTTATTGACACTGCACTTTAACAGCGAGTTATAATAAATTCATTCAATAATTTCTTATTTCGTTTAGCTATCAATAACTTACTTTATTATTCGCCTTCTACGCAGGCTTCATTCTTTAGAGCATACAGCTTTGTCTTACGTTATATATTTTCATTCGTTAGATATATTCAGATTTTGTCTGTTAATGGTAAACCAGCAAAAGGTAAATAGAATACTAAAATCTGTCAAAATAAAATTAATTAATTGTTAATGGTAGGTATGTGATTAGGTATGTTAGCACTTAATTATATACTAAAAGAATTGTTAGTTGAAATTTTAATAATAAATTCAATATAAGATAGATAATTTGATTTATTAAATTCAAAATCCATAATTGTTTGTTTTAAACGCTATTTAAAAAATCCCTCATTTATGACAATTGACAATGTATGTACAAAAACAAGTTAAAAGCTTTTTTCAAATTTTCTAAATGTTAATTTAAGTACATATTAAGATCTATCGCTAAAAAGGTTTACCTAAAACTATAGTTTGGTGTGGCGCACGCGCAGTGTAAGAGACACAGTCGCGCATAGATGACTGTTGATCAGTGTTTATAAAATGAATATTTTAATTTCAAAATTGATGTGGAAAAATGGAAGTCGGATTAATCAGTATCTCTTAGCTGTTATAAGTAAGTTTTTGTTTTTGGCTTATCTTAGATCATTTTTAGTATTATTATTGATGTGTAACTGAAAATTTATAATATTAATTATGTACATAGGCTTAATGTCAACGTAATTGAGGGTAGTAAAGGCGCATATGATAGGCATATTTGCAATTTTGTTAATAAACATTAAGAAATACAATTTTAATTAACATTATTTATTTGAATTTTTAAATTATATATGTGAACTTGTATGCTTGCTTCGAATATTCTTAATGACAGTCAGGACAAAGTCATAATACATTAGTTTTTGTGTTAAACTTCTGTAACAAAGGCAACTTAAAATTAAAATTACACTAACATTAGAATCGTCTTCTATTAATTTATTGTGCGTGAAAACAAATTTACGTTTAGATTCCGGAAATAATAGATGCTTATTTTAAAACGTTAAATTGATATATTATTGGGGCTTTTAAGTAGCTATTTTTACTAACCGAATTGAATAACTCAAAACTTGTGTACGAATATTATATATTTTAAAACAAATTAAAATTGACAAAATTAAAGAAATAGAAATAAATCGTAGAGAATGATACTAATTACCAGTGGCGTTACAACCTGGTTTTTTTCTAATAGGCAAGTATCAGCGTGTTTTGTCAACATATCGACTTTTTGGGTGAGGCGCGCCGGTTTCCTCACGATGTTTTCTTTCACTGTACGAGCTAGAAAGTAGTAGCATTGGTGCACAGCCGGGTTTTAACCTACGAACTCTGGGATGAGAGTCGACGAAGGCCTGCTCTAGAAAATGACTTTTTAATATAACTGCAAATGGGCAAAAGGCTCGTCTGATGTTAATGATACTGCCGCCCATAGACACTCTCAATGCAGAGGGCTCAAGAGTACGTTGCCAACCTTTTGAGAATTGGTTCGCTCTTTTAATGAAGGACTCTAAGTCGAATTCGTTCGGAAATACTTCAGTGGGCAGCTGGTTCCACATAGTGGTGGTGCGTGACACTAATAAAACGCTCAGTTGTGGAACGACGGACTTCGAGATGATACGGGTGGACAGCTAAAGTTTATATAAGCTAATCTATAATACACAAATAGGAAAAAACAGCAAGAGACTTAAAAATCTCGTGTTACAAGCTGTAGCTACAAATTACGAATGTATGCAGTCACAACATCCAATGATTAAAGCTCAAAGTGAATATTGTTCATCGATTATTTTTCCTATTGTGTCAAAATAGTCGACGAAACCCGGCCACATCTGAAATAATTAAATTGGAAGTCAAATTGTGTTTACGCTGTGGTGAAAACAGATGAAAAAGTTAAAACAATGCAATTGGACTTCTTTTAATGAACAAGAGGATAAATAATTTTTATTCTATTCTGTGGGTGTTCGACACGATGTTCTGTTAAAAAATTACCTAGTGTCGTTACCAATTCTTTTCGATTCTTCGCTATGTGAGGATAAATAAAATGATACGGTACAACTTTACTCAGAGAAGCGCCATTTACGCGTGTTTTGCGCACCCTAAATATTTGAGCTTGTGAGTCGTATATATTTAGTTGCACACTGGTTGAATTCACAAGAATTTCATTATTTATAATTGGTTATAAAAAGGTTTAGATTTTACGTTTTCTTGTTTTATATTATGTTTTTAGTTTAATTTTAATATCAATAAGCTTCCTATTGTATCAGTATTATGTTACTGAAAATAGGAAATAAATAAATAAATTATATGGACTGTTAAACGTACGTCACAAAACATCTATATTTCAATATTTAAAAATCGGTAAATTTCATATATATTTTATCAGATCACAAACATAATAACCTAATTAGTCCAATAGAAAGTTGCTTTTGTGTTTAAAACTAGATAATTTTTCATCAAAAACCACATTCTTAGTCATAACACGAGTCATCCTACTTATGTTAATTTTACTAAAGAAAATTCACATAACTACCTTTCTTGTATATATTATAGTATATAAACAGCAATGTCAAGTTAGAAACTTCATAATATTACACTGTACCCCGGGGATAACTTCACATCAACATCACAAGTTTTTAATTGTTACTGTTAGTGAAGACACTGACAAATCACAATCAGACAGTTTCTAATCATACAAGTTTATAATCCTATTCAAAACAATTTACGCTTTGACTGTGACCCTTCTGACTCGAGTTCTGCCCTTGTCCATGGGCAGTAGCTGTGTAACATTGTAGTTATACAACAGTTTACTTCTCAGTTTGCATTAGGGCTTTCTAGTTACATAAACCGCTAGGATATTCTACTATTGAATAATGAATCGTATTTCGTAAATATTTAAGCGAACCTTTTCTCAAAATTATATTTCTTAATAAACAGACCCCGGATCCATCATATACTATTACCACACGCCATCGGAGTATAACCGACGACAATTAAGTTGTCTTTTGTAAGAATTAACGTCGTCATACATATCGTGATACAGCCTAGTTCTCTAATTAAATTGTATCAATCAAATATTTATGGGTAATTTCGTAGTTAGCTGTATAATTTCCCAAGTGATTATGCTGCATTATGCCTAATGTATTCGATGACATATGATGTATGATCAAAGGATTATATAACACTTAAATAACAATATTATTTATGGACATTTTTTTTACGTCTATGTGAAAGTATGGATACAGCCTGTTTTCGAAAGGTGTAGGCAGAGACCACATACCTCCAATTTCTACTATCGTTACATACCTCACTTCCTTCACTCTCGTGATATTCGCGCTGATACCATAACATACACGCTCGTCGATTATGGGAGTTCTTGACTTGGTTTTGACGAATAAGCCCAGATTATTATATATTAGTAGATATATATTAAAAGAGTACCGAGAGTTTTTTTACGCCGGCTTTTTCTCTCGGCTCCTCTGTCTTCTTTGCCGATGAGTAGGGATGCCTACAAATTCAATAAACCCCTAATTTTTCTTAATTTTATGTTAAATTATAAATCTTAAATTTATAATCTAATGTTTTTTCTCACTTCATGTTTGTGATGTTTGCCTAAAAGTTATCACGTTAAATCTTTTATTTTGTTTTTCTTAAGTAACAAATAACAATGTATTTGTGTGCCGAGTGTTGGCAACGTTTGTAAATAAATAAATATACTATAATTGCCTAATGCCTATGTAAATTTTATATAACATTTTTATAATTTTATTTTATTTTAATTTTAAATTTTATGCAATCTGTAGTGGAAGCTTCGACAAGTTGTTTTTAAAATGATATCATTTCGTATCAAGCAATTAAAATGTTCAAAATGAAACGGAAATTAATTCTGTTTTGCATTACTTGAAGAAGTATGTAATGACTATTTTTGTAATTCACTTTTTTTACTTGTCAATTCGTCAATTTTACTTATAGATTTTTTTATTAGCGAATGTTTTGTTAATTTTTTAGGATATTGCTTGTATTCATTAACAATTTGAAAGAATTCAATTTAAACAATACGTTGTTAAATAATGTATACTAGGTAGCGGTTCCACAATTTTATAGACTAGAAACTTAAACTCAACTAGACAAAAGAAGAAACTTAAGAGATTTTTTAGTATTTCACCAATATTTTTAGATGACAAAACTTCTTAAAGTTATTTCGCCGCAAAAAATCATGAATGAAACACGTGAGCAAGGCTCCGTAGAATTGGAAGTAAAAGGACACAAACGCCATTCGAATAGTACAACATTATAACAATTGTATAGCAGCTTAACGTTTCAGTTGGCAAAATCGTATCATTAGTTCTGACCAGCTAAATAAAACCGTATAAATTGTACGATTCCAGAATATTTTACACATGAATTTAGCATAACAAGTACCACACGGCTTCCCAATTCCGGAATTGTAATTGTCGGACGTTAACCCGATGCATACATTTTATGCATATTTTATTTCCCTAATATCGTTTGCTTCATTAAAAACAAGAAACTTGTTAAAATATTTGTATTTTAAAGCAATGTAACACCCTCATTGTAGCTATAATTGAAAAGTTGAGTAACCTTACGGCTGAGACAAAAGACAATCGTGAACGCCGAACAAATTTGTATGAAAATGGTCACGTGATAAAGCCTGAGCTAATGTCATTCCCATACAAATGTGATAAGCGTTAGTGGGTCACGATTGTTGCAAAAGTGATTTTGTCTAAAGCCCCTTATGTTAGCCAAAGCCCATACAACATTTTTGTGCTTTTGGAAACTAGTAGAAAACTTTACTTACGATGAATTATTGAACAAATATAAAAAAAGGATTTTAATGTATTAAAGTTATGATAATCTCAAACAAACATGTGTAAAAGATATAATGTGTAATTAATCTGTTAATTTAAATAGTTTGTAATTAATTTTATCGTCCTAGACAGATAAGCTAAATTTGTTTTATTGTTTAAAAATAAAAATATTTTAGATCCCAAACCTATTTAAATATTTTTTTTTCAGTAACAATACCACTACTAAGTTTCGGCATGGTACAAGGATGGCTATCACCAATGATATCAGTGCTCCAGTCATCCAATGGCCCTGCCCCAGAGCCATTCACACCATCAGACATATCCTGGATGACATCCGTAACTTACATCACAGCCATCATTATTGGGGCGCCAATGGGATACCTCACAGATAGATACGGAAGGCGAGCAATGACTTTAATCACTACTCTGTCTTTAATTGTGAGTATAAGCCTTGTTGTCTTATGCCAAAGCAGTGTTGGTCTAGTGGCTTCAGCGACTCTCATCTCTGAGATCGTTGGTTCAATCCCCGGCTATGCACCAATGGACTTTCTGTCTATTTGCGCATTTAACGTACGTTCAAATGGTGAAGGAAAATATCGTGAGGAAACCGGCTTGCCTTAGACCCAAAAAGTCGACAGCGTGTGTCAGGTACAGGAGGTTAATCACCTACTTGGCTATTAGATTGACCGTTTGTCAATCATGAAACAGATACAAAAATCTGAGGCACAGACCTAAAAAAAGTTGTAGCGCCACTGATTTGTTTATGTTTTATGTGCCTTGTGTGTTGTGAGAATATAAAAAAAAACATTATTGCAAACCACTTCCTTCGAGTCTTCTAGATGATTAAGATTTTGAAACGATAGTTTGATTTTTATTGATCAATGAATTCGACGTTAGAGGGTCACACCTGTCGAAATGTTTTTGTCTATGTCTCCTGAGAGGTCACATATCATCAACAATAAAGTATACTGGCTAATAAGTTTTTTAAATGAAACTTCTTAAGAAGAATTTTTATCAATTATTAAAAAGGTTATTGTTTATTAGGTATTGAGAGAACCATGGATAACTGATTTTGAATTAAACTAATTGAAATAATGTACATAATTCGCGTTTATGTCTGTTAATAGAACTGATTTGTATAGTACGCATACAAATATAATATGAAATTATTTCTATAAAATTTTGCTCCCCGGGATCGAACTTACGTTGAACACCATCGCGAAGACTACATCAAAACAACGCAACATATTTATGAATTATTGAAATCACGTACAAATTATAATTCCTTTCCGGTTTGCGGATATTTCCTAGATTCTCATATTTTATTGGTCAAAGCTTGTCTATTTATGTGAATAATATAGATGATCACATATAATTATAGTTTAAAATACAATCGAATCAGGATATTACGATCTTAAATATAGTGTTTATATACATAAGTTTATTTTATAGTTTATTCAATTCAAAAATCATTTATTCACGTAGGTAACACAATTTACACTTGTGATTCGTCAGTAAAGAAAAACTTTAACTTTATTTAAAACTTTATCATCACACAATTTATGATAAAGAGTAGATTTTTTTACAGAACGGGGGGCAGGAGGCTCACCTGATCTTAATTGATACCCCATATTCGCCCATGGACACTCTCAATGCCAGAGAGCTCGCGAGTACGTTGCCGTTAATAATCAACATGAAAATACGGCATGGCCCTCACAGGCAGCTTTGAAATTTAAAAAGCTGAATTTGTCTTAATCTGTGGCTCTATAAAGTTTTGTTAATTTTATTTCCGACGGGAAACGATCACCATTTATTTACAAAACTTGCACTAACAAAAAAATAACAATGGTGGTTTATTGTTTGTTTTTGTAGACTATAAACAATGTTGTGGAATGTCTTCGCGGAAGACGAACTTCCTTCCTAATAGCATTATTCTTAAAATTGAACTTGTTTTTTGATCTAGACATTGACCTCTATGAATCCGAAAGTAAATATTTTACTTTTTGTGTATTATTAGCAAACTTGTTATGTTTTTTTACTCTGTTTTTCTGGGTCTATAATAGTTTATAGTCATTGTATAATCGTACGAAATTATTTATTTTAACTTCGTTACATTACAAATAAAAACAAGAAACATAAATTATTAGGGATGCAACAGAAATACTAAGGTCGTACAAGAAGTCCATTACCAAATCAACAGAAATAAAATAACCAGTAAACAATTTTATTCACATTTCCGGGAATCAAAAACACGTGGAATTAAAACTTAGTGAAACAGTTGACATTCGAATCTTTTAAATCCGATTAAAAATCTAACCATCGAGCACAGTGGCGTAACTAATCTATACCATCCCGTGGCAAATTCTTTTGATGGGGCCCTATCAGTAAAAATCGTCACGTTGTACTCAGTTTAATTTTAATAAACTTCGAGATTTTCAGCAGCGCGAGTATAGTAGCGCTAAGTTTCAACTTGGGCCAAAATTAAATTTTAAAGCAGGCGACCAGCCAATTGATAGAATAGAAAGATTCCAACAGAAATCTTAGGCTAAATGCGTCATACTCGTGAACGGGTGTTGCTTGTGGTGACTAGTCGTACTTGAATTCGTGTATGCGGTGATGTTAGTTATTTCGACTATGTGTTTGCGTGTTGTTCCCACGAGAATGTAAGTGCGTGCTCCTATTTCACCATGCCTCCTGCTGATAGAAGACAAGTCTTTGTTTTTAATTAATGTTATTATTATTAATTACTTAATATTATGTCATGTGGAGCATGGAGTAATGGTTGCAGCTCTTTACAAACGTTGTGTAAAAAAAATGGCGATTTAAAAGAGTGGCGGACAGTTTCTTCTCTTCCGTTCTACGCCCTTGATTTGAGTACTGGCAGTAAATGTAAAATTAATTAGAAGCATTAATATGTATTTCTTTATTGACGAGTCATAAGTGTACATTATGTTACCTATACGATTAAATGATTTTTACTTTTACTTTACTTTACTAAAACCAAAGACTTCCACGATTTTTTATGTAATATTCTAACACATAACTAAAATTTTCAGATATATTGGCAAATAAAGCTGATCTGCCTGGAACCATGGGCGTTGATTCTCGCCCGGGCAGTAGCTGGTATACCCTGCTCGGCCTGCTATATCGTCCTGCCCATTTATTTGAAGGAGATCAGTGATATTGATTTGAGAGGCGCCTTGGGTTCATTGCTTATTTTAAACAGGTATTATGTGAGATTTATTAGACCTTATAAGTGGACTAGAAGACAGCTCAAGAGCTCTTAAATCTGTTAAAAAATACTTAATGGGCTTTCAGCAAATGTTACGAGAGACTGTCTTCTGTCAACTGTATAATTACCTTATTAATTCAATTTTTTGCCGGGAACTTGGTGAATTCAATTTAGATTGTGTCAATGTGTGAGCACCATGTACATATATACATAATAATTTGAATTAATCTGCTGCATTGCAAAAACTTTTCGACTGTACTAAATTTCACTTTTTAGTATCGAAATAATTCTGTGTTTCTAAGTATTATTGGCGGATTTAGTATATGTATTGACATAAGAACATCGACGATTCTTTGATATATTATATCTTTATGTAAACTGTAATATGTCGTAATTATTACCATATAAATCTGTTTCAACAATGTCTTAATGTAGAGCTTTTTAATTAAATTTAAATTTATTTGGCAACCAAGGCCTGCATTGTGCGGCGTAGAAGAATTAACATATATAACATATTATGATAATTACATTTTTTAACTTTGACACGAAATAAACATTTAATTATCTGCTATATTATTAATATATATTTTTGCGTATTCTGACGTCTATATGAGGAAACGAGGACACATTATTTTGGAGTTTTTGTAAATACCATTGTCAGTAGTTAAATAAAGAAATTATTCAAAGTTATTAATATAATGCTGACCAATTAGTAGTTCATGTTCTATTGGTTTTGCTATTTCAGAAACCATTAATACTTTTATAATGGGGTATCGCCCAAGGTTACTTGTTAGTGTCTATGTTCTTTGTTATTTATATTAATGAGTATAATTTTAAAATTTACAGAAACATTGGATATTTAATGAGCTACGTACTCGCTGATCTTCTAGACGTTACTACAATGCTATGGATAGGTTTCTTGGTACCTACAGTCGTGTTCTTCATATTTTTCGTTATGCCTGAGACTCCCGAGTTCCTTGTGAAGCAAGGAAAAGTTGACGTGAGTGATCTAAAGAATGTTTTTTAGATCATAAACAGTAATACTGTTATAATCCGTTTTCAGTCGTAAGAAATAAAATTTATGTGAAAATTATATTAAAATATCGTGTTACGATACATTTAGAAGCATTTTACTGACTTTTATGTATATTGTGTTACCTTATGAATTATGTTTTAAATTTTTATATAACTTTAACCTGCCTAATTAGTGTTCGTTAAAAATACATACATTTAAGAAACCTATTGTCTGATGTAAAATTACAGAAACTCTATGGAACTAAATGTGTATGAAAATTTGTCGACACGAACTGTCATCTTCATACAAATTTAGTTTTCGACTTTCTATATACACTGTTAAGGCCTCTTGACTAAACCTCCATCAACCATGGACTTAAACGACATTATTTTACAGGAAGCGAAGTCAGTATTCGCATGGCTTCGTGGTGTTTCTGTTACTGACCGTTCCGTTGAGCAAGACATTGACACTATTGTTAAAGTTGAGAAACAAACTAAAGCCGAGCAAAAATCTGTTTGGAAAATTATATGTAAGTTGTTAGACTTTCTATAAACGAGCTTTTTCATCGCCTGGTTTCTTGGTTGTTTAAAGAAAAAGGAAAATGTAATTCTATGGCTTTTCTTAATACATTTCTAGCTTTAGAATTTTTGATAGCTTGGATTGTACAGAGTTAAAACGATCATTCTATTTTGTTTTCCCGGGAATATTTTATATGAAGAAAACTTTAAACTACTATTTGCTTTAAAGCCCTCAAAACCCAAGACTGGCTAATTACGCAGTAGATAACATATAACACGGATATGTGCGCGGACGCAACTGTACCAGCTGAATCAGAGGTTAGGGTTGATAAACATCGCCAAAGCCTAGGTCAATGCCATTGACGGCTACCGAAATGGTTATAGTTAGTTTATTTGTATAGTTCAGCCCTGGTATTCGAACTTGAATCCTTTTACCAGACATCAGTCCCAATAGTTTATTTTGATACCTTGCTTTCAGGGAAAGACAGGCCCACGTTCAAAGCCTTCATCATCACGCTGGTTATCAAAATCACCCAACAGTTCGACGGCTACCTCATCGTTCTCATATACGCTGGTTTCGTTACTGAAAAAGCAGCTGAATCCATCACCTTCAAGTTGACTCCTAACAAACAAGTTATGATGATTGGTCTGGTGCAATTGTTTGGATCTATAGTTGCTACTTGCATTGTTGAACGGACAGGAAGGAAGGTAAATAAATTCTAAATAAATACAATAATGTTATATATTTACTAGCTGACCCGGCAAACGTTGTTTTGCCATGTATATTATTTCTAGGAAACATTGTTTAGTTCAATAAAAATAACTATCTACAGTAATAAAAAGAAGGGGTTGATCGTAGAGGGGTGCAAATTAGGGGTTGTATTTATTTTTGTACGTTGTATCATAAATAAATTGTCTAGAAAATAAAAATATATATCACTCAGGGGTTTGAAAGATAGTTAGTAGTCGATTCTCAGCCTTACTGAATATGCATAAAAAAATCATAAGAATCGGTCGAGCCGTTTCGCAGGAGTATGGGAACGAACATTGTGACACGAGCATTTTATATATTAGATGACCATGTTTTAGAAGGAGAGCCTACTATCTGAGAGCGAGAATAATTGGTTGAAATATCTCCTATAATAATTCTAGTATGCAGCTAAAGCTTAAGCAATATCTCTCTCTCTTTAATAAGCAGCTAATGTCTGAGCGCTGTGGTCAGTAATGCAGCATCTAGAGTGGACTATCTTTTTTCGTTGGTTTCTATCCAGCACTTCTCTTATGAGTTTTGAAGACGATGAGTCTTTCACTTGATCGGTCCATGTAGTTGGTAAACGGCCACGTGATCTTTTACTTTCTGTATTATCAACCAGGATAAGTTCTTAAAGTTCTCATCGCCTCTGCGCATTTTATGGCCGAAATAAGATACACTAGTGATTCTGCTGTTGGAAACTTACTCATAAATATTTTCATTAGATTCGACCTAACCGATACGCCGACTTGCTGCGTCTACACTGCTCTGTTTTCCTCTTGTCTTAGAAGATGTATATGATATGTTTAGACCCATAGTTGTCTTTTGTCAGACCAATGGATCGATCGAACTTCTCGTGCCTTTTCTCTTATCATTACTAATTTCTCGACACTTTCCAGTCCTCTCCTAGAAATATGACCAAAGGACCAGTTAAGATATAGTTTCTATACGTATTAAAATATTCTATATTCAAGCAAGTACGCATTTTATATGTTACGTTTAACGCTAATAAGTAGTACAGTAAAAATCTATTATAACGACATCGAAGGGACTACTCATATTTGGTCGTAAAAACCGATAGTCGGAACAGCCGATGATATTATTATTAAGTACCTAATACAATAGAATTCAGGAACTTTGATTTTGGTCAATATAACCGGTATGTTGTGCTAAACGATGTCGTCGTAACCGGTTTTGACTGTATGTAAAATCGAGAACCCTGTAGATATTGTGAAGCAAAAGTTAGTCAGGCGCATTATTGAAACCATTAGTTGTATGGCGTCAAAGAAATTATTCCATTCTGTTTTGTTTCTTCCTGCCTTTACTTAGCTTAGCTAGGTTAAATAATATATTGGAGATCTTTTTTACCAAACTGTAAATAATTATTTTTCTTATTTTTCTACACTTTGACTGCATTCCACGTAACATTAATACCGATTACAATTGTTGTTACAATACTTGCACCAAAACTAGGGCTAAGTACGAGTCCCATATGCCAAAAGTATTGGATTCTGACACACGGAAGCTACAGTGCTAATTCTCGACCTTGCAATCCTAACCCTAGTGACGTCATCACCCAATAGAATTCTTTAAATATACACAGCGATGAATCTAACTTGGAATGACATAGTATCAAACTCAATTATATCGCTCTGATTAAGTGGTATTTTTTCAGCTACTATTGGTCTCCACATCATTTACGGTTGGTGTTGGTATGCTGATTCTCTCAGCGTGGTTCTATTTCACTGGTTTGGGGAGCTGGTTGCCGGGCTGGGTTCCCGTGGTGGCTATGTGTGTGTGTATCTTCGCTGATGCGGCTGGATTTCAACCTATATCGTACATTATTATCACCGATTTGTTCACATTTCAAGTAAGTTTAATAATAATATTTAATTGCATTTAACATACTCCAATCTATTTTCCCCTTTTGTTTGTCCCTTTTCATCTTGGCCTCATCACAATTTGGCAGAGAGAGATGAAAGAGTATTTTACTTATTAGTAGTATAAAGCATGTTGGCTAAACTGGATAATTTTAATAAGTATATTTTATTTACACTTTGGTAAATGGGTATATAATAAAATCCCTCATACAAATCCCTCTTAATCGTTACAAAACAGAAAAATTGCACCCTTTTAATCGTTCGTCTCTTTCTGTGAAATGCTGTTTACGCTGTGTTGAAGCGAGACAAATACTTTAGTGACAGTTCAGAGGTTTAGGCTAGACTATACGTCTTGTTAAATTAATGAACTGATTATTGCAACCAACTTTCACTTAGTGTGTTTAACATAATAATGTTTACTTTTCTTTTGTTACACAATCCTAGTACTTTTAAATATTTGTTTATCATTAGTTTATTAGTTGTACCTTGTTATACGTAACATATTTCATCTATTTGTGTTTTGTTTGAAATCGTTCTTCCAAGTGAGCTTTTTGTGGCTTTCGGCTACCTCCCCATAATAATCCTTTTACGTTGGATTTATGAACTTTTTTCTATTGGAATTTGAACTTAGGATAATGAAGGTCAATAGACTGTCCTGTTTCATAAGCCAGGCTTTTATAGTTATTACAACATTGATTTAATTGTATTATTACAGCTTCGCGGGACTGTGTCTTCGTTCGCAAACATCTGCGCAAAACTCAGCAATTTTGTTCAAACGAAGTGGTTCACGAAGGTCTGCGAACTAATCAGCATACATTGGACTTTTCTCTTCTTTGCTATTGTATCATTTTCCGCCTGTATTTATACTGTAATAGCTTTTCCAGAAACGAGGCATAAATCTGTTGAAGAAATATATTCGAAGTTGGAAAAGAAGAAAGAGCGCGCTGAGGTCGCATAGAACGCCTTTTTTGTCCTTTTCACTCTTGTGTCACATTCCATATTATATATTATGTAAGACGAAACAATCTTCAACTAGTTGTCGTATGAACATGAAGATGCTAATCACTTAACTTGATCTAACGAAAACTTTCGCGTTTATAGTTAAGTCTGGCATATTATACATAGTCCAAATCTCACTAGAAAGTTCACGATTATTCAAACTGTTTTAACTCTTTCGATCTACGCGACAGTTTTCGTTTTATTCGATGATTGGACGTTATCAGACCAAACAATAATTAACTTGACAAATTAATTGACCAGGTTATCATGAACGCAAGACTGGTAAAATATTATTTAAGATAATTGTGCATTATTTATCAGAATTTCAAGTGATGTACCTATCTAGATAGTGGTCATAGAATAGACTGAATTTGTGACAAATATTTTAATTGGTGTTTTAAGAGTAATAAACCTAGACATCTGTAACATCCAAAATAGTAATTCTAACTTATCGAGTTTTTGTACCCAATTTTTTTAGTGCTACCATAGCATAGCTCAATGCATAGCATTGAGCAAACTTTGTTTCGCCCAATACAAACCCTCAAAGTCATATCAGCGAAGACACAATGGACAAACAACAAAAATTAAATTAAAAACTTATAAAAATAAACTATTATTTGAATTTTATATGAAACTATAATTCAAAGCTACGAAATATTCATAAAAACTGAGACTTAAATCGCTTTTTTAATCTTCCTTATCATTTTTGACACTAAATGGCGGATCTAGCATTTTCGTTTTGGTCACACAGTATATGTCCATTTATGTACATAATATAGTCTCGTTATATAAGTAAATCTACTAATAAAAGTTATTTTGTATAAAAAAATTGTGATATAGCAAGACCCTCACATAACATATGGGCTGAAAAGTTCGTAAGCTAACATATTTATTTTTGATATAATTTGATTTTATTATTCAATATAATATAGTCTTTAACCGATTATAGCGATTATACAATTTTTTGATACCATTTTCATAGTACGATTTGTGTTTAGCCTCAAAATAGGCTATCTTAAAAGTCTCAGCTATCTTAATGAAGTTCACTTTTCGGCAATCCAAAATTATTGTGGACTTTATTGATGTTTTCGTCGGTAACAGCCTCTTTGGGGGGTCCACCGCGTGCATCGTCCTCGGTGCTTATTTCGCCTCCTTTAAACTTAGAAAACCACTTCTCAACGGTTGATTTTCCCAGTAATGTTTATGAAGCCTTGGTGTCAATAGTGTTTTTTATCGCCAAAAAGCAATGCTTTATTATCACCCAAAATCATTTTTATCCATTTTAAAAAATACAAAAGTTCCACTCAAAATATCTTACAGTTGTCAAATTTATACACGTGTCTTATGAAGGTTCGGGCTAACTAAAAATCATATTAATTTAATACTAGTTGCGCCATCTATGTGTCAGCCTACGAATTTTTCAGCCCACCTATTAGCCCCTTAGAGCAGTGTTGGCCTAGTGGCTTCAGCGTGCGAGTCTCATCCCTAAGGTCGTAGGTTCGATCCCCGGCTGTGCACCAATGGACTTTCTGTCAATGTGCGCATTTAACATTTGCTCGAACGGTAAAGGAAAACATCGTGAGGAAACCGGCTTGCCTTAGACCCAAAAAGTCGGCGTGTCTCAAGGTCAGGAGGGCTGATTACTATTTGCCTATTAGATTGATAAATCATCATTAAACAGATACAGATATCTGAGGCCCTGACCTAAAAAAAGGTTGTAGCGTCACTGATTTTAATAACCTGGATCTGCTGGCACTGGTTTTGTTTCATTGTTACTCAATAGCATCTGTAGTCTAATCGCAAACACGCGTCACGATTCGTCACTCCCTTTGACCACTATCAAACGCGTTGTACTTTCGTTTAACAAAGTCACAATGACTATCTATGGGGGAGCATTTAGGGTCTTTATAACTGAATTTGTAGGATAATTATTTTGTGACCAAGTGTGAGCAACACAAATAATCGTTCTATAGCGGGTCCACGCTTTTGACTTGACTCATTTAACCGTAAAATCTCAGTAATAGGGTTTTGTAAATATTTGTGTACATATATTATAAGTTAGACGTAAGAATGCTATTTTTTTGCATGTTTCAAAAATATTTAAAATTGTAATAACTAATTAGCTTTGAATAATACGCTCAAATGTTAATTTAAATCAAAGTAATAAACATAATATATTGAAGTAATCTATTAATTAAGTAAAATTTAATTGCTTCATTGTATATACGTAGATTAATTAAATTAAATTATAATAAAATATGTATTTTTCTTTTACCGTATCTTTGGAGAGAGGGTGTATTTTGGGACATTTACAGGTATTTATTTTCGTTATGTTTCGCCACTTCCTAAACTTTATAATTACCTTGAAGAGATTTCATATTATTGGAATATATATACTTGCATTTTAACTTGTCTAAATATATGTTAAATTTTGTATAAAATTCATCAAATTTGATTCACCATACAAAGATTATATCAATTTAAGACACATTTATAGTAATATAGAGTATATAGTAGCTACTAACAAAAACAATGCTTTTGCGTTACATCCCCGTACACAAATGGATATTTCAAACAAATATATATAATAAACAAACAAAATTTGTTTGAAATATCCATATAATAGCGTAATTATTATTTGTTGTTCATGCGGGTAAGGAAAACATCGCGAGGAAACCTGCACGTCTTATTCACTATAACTTCCGTTTTCGACGTACGGAAGTCACACTTAGCGATAAATCTAGACTCGGGATCTCAATCTATAAGACGCAAAAATTAATAGTGTGTGTCAGTTATAAAAGGCACACATACTCACATACATACAGCAATGAAAGAAACAGAAATCTTATCACCTAAGTTTAGATACCGGCAAACATCTTGAACAAATGTCCTTGCCTGCGCAGAAGCGATTTTTAGGTATCATTGAGGGGCGCGGCAGCGGGAGAGTGTCGTGTCGATCGCGTGATTGGTAAATCGTTGACGTTTATGTCCCGCGCTGGGTACGATGCTCAAACTTTCCCCCACACCCTTGTTTAATGCTCAAGAAGTTTGCTAGTATCTGTAATTGGTTTAAAAAATAACAAACACAGAAATGTGTCGGTTCTGAGAAAATGATATATTGATATGAATGATCAAGTTTAAATCAGAATAAAATAAGGTGATGTCATCTATAATAATTATAAGTAACCGCTAATCGTAAAGATAAACTATGGGAAAATATCCGATACCATTTTTGGACTTGTGAAACGTATCTACACGTTTATGTTACGAATGTGAATCCAGCTTAGGCAAAGAGAATTTAACTTATGTACGGTGCTAATGAACCGTCACAAAAATTTCTATTTTCACATTGTTTATTATTATAAATTGCAAATTATATATTTTTCGCTATTTTTCATACACGTAAGCTGTAGACCAACTATTGATTAACTAGTTATTTTGACAATTCCATTTATATGACGGACATAGTAACAACGAGCGAGAAACGAGGTAGCACCTAAATGATGGTACAGGAAGATACATAGATGCAGAGCTAGGAACTGATAATGAATAATAGGAATATTGTCGTCTAAGGACAGGAACATTTATTGATTTTTCGGGGGGGGGGGGTTTTTGTAGGGGGGGGGGGGGAAAAATGGGGGGGGGGGGGGGGGGGGGGGGGGGGGGGGGGGGGGGGGGGGGGGGGGGGGGGGGGGGGGGGGGGCCCCCCCCCCCCTCCCCCCCGCCCCGGGGGGGGGGGGGGGGGGGGGGGGGGGGGGGGGGGGGGGGGGGGGGCGGGGGGGGGGGGGGGGGGGGGGCGGGGGGGGGGCGGGGGGGGGGGGGGGGGGGGGGGGGGGGGGGGGGGGGGGGGGGGGGGGGGGGGGTGGGGGGGGGGGGGAGGGGGGGGGGGGGGGGGAGGGGGGGAAAGGGAGGAAAGGGAAGGGGGGGGGGGGGGGGGGGGGAGAGGGGAGGGGAAAAAAAGAAAAAAAGAAAAGAAAAGAAGAAAAAAATTTTTTTTTTTTGAAAAAAAAAAAAAAAAAAAAAAGTGGGAAAAAAAGGAGGGGGGGGGGGGGAAAGAAAAAGAGGGAAAAGGGGGGGGGAAAAAAGGGGGGGGGGGGGGTTGGAGGAAAAAAAAAAAAAAAAAAAAAAAAAAAAAAAAAAAAAAAAAAAAAAAAAAAAAAAAAAAAAAAAAAAAAAAAAAAAAGGAGAATTTTTTTTTTTTTTTAACGACAGGAAGGCCGGAGGAGAGGAGACAGAGACAGAGACAGATTGTTACCAAAGTGACAAACGTTGTTGATGTTAAAGACAATAATTTATTATAAAAATCATAAATTAATTTGTTGGCATCAGCCATTTAATTTCGACATTAGAGTCTACTTTTTTATGCTGCACACTCCCTCGGGAGAGGTGAGCTTTGGCCCGTTCGGGGCTTGTTCAATTGGCAATTAAATAATAAACCATATATCGGTTTTGAACTACATTTGACTTTGATGTTATTAAATTATAATGACAATGGCAGTTGATACCAGCACCATTGCTGATATAGTTATGACTAAAAATAAATGGGATAGCACCGAGGGCCCTGGGGCAACAAAGAGTGGCCCCACGCTATGTAAAGATCAATCCCAATATCACTACTAAAAAAAAAAAAAGAAAAAAAGGAAGTTTTTTGTGGATGTTTTTTTTTGTAGGGCAAGTAAAAAAATTTAACGAAATTCACTGTTTAAATCGAGAAAGTAAAAAAAAAAATAAATTTTTAATGTGACAGCAGCATTTAAAGGCAAACATGACATACATATAGAATCATATGGGGGGAATAATAAAAAAAAAAAAAAATAAAAAAAAAACCAAAACAATTACTTATCAAAAAAAAATTCAATTACAAAAAAAAAAAAAATCATTTTATTTAGGGAGCAATATGTATACGCGTGGTGCATAATATTTAGGGAAAATAGGGTATTTAATATTCATTATGTATTA